TTTCATTGCATATTATTAATTCTAGACTATAATAAAATATTATTCGTATACGTTCTTTTTTGTTTGAACAGTTTCATTGTTAATATTAAATGTTTGTATCTGACTAAAATCAAATTTTATTTCTTAAATATTTCATGTTCGTATAAAAATATTTTGTTTCTAATTTATTTTTTTATAGTGATTTCCTAATACCAGTGGAATTTTTCGCAATATCCAATAACAATAAAACCACTATTAATTTTAATTTTCTTCCGGGCCACATTGCCCAGGTCCTTCAATTATATCAAAAGAGGAGAATGAAAAGAGGTAAAGATGGATAGAGGATGAGTCTACCCCTAAAGATGACGTCCTTTCTCGATAATATTTAATATATTTAGGAATGCGACCCTACGAAAATATTGGGCTTAATGAAAAAATATATTGTCCGATTTTTCGTTTCCGGCAAATGCCTCGATGGACGGCCGCGAAGGGTTCTAAAGGATTTGTTTATTCACAAATCGAAGATCGAAAAAATGTCCGGCTTAAAAGCTCATTTTTTTTATTTTTATATTTAATAATCTTTGTTTTATGTTTATTTTCAAGAGAGTAAACGAAAAGAAAAAAAAAATCCTCCCCTCGTCGGTTGAAATTAATTCCTTTTTACACGATCGTTGAACACGAATTCCCTCTAATTAATTGCTGAATAAAATCGCAGTGGTCATTAAAAAAAAAAAAAAAATCTCCCTCTCGCGAAATGCATTCCCCGTTTAAGACGTTAACCGTGTTTTTATTTTTTTTATTATCATCATCATCGTTGTTCGGTGTAAAAATATTTAACTAATTTCCTTTTTACCGCTTAACTTTTTCATCGCCGTTGTTTACGTAGGATTTTTTAATTGCCACAATAAACACGGGTTTCCGACGGTACGACAGTTTTCCCCCCTCGGCTATCAAGTGGCAGTTAAGACCGCGGGTATTACAAGCGCACAATTAACGCGCGGCGACCGTTTAGCGGGAACGATATTAATTATAAATTTCCATATTTCGCCGCGTCCCTCGAAAACGGTGGTGGTGGTGGGGGGGAGCGGTTGCTGTTTTTCTCTCCGCTCGTCGAAATCATCCGGCGTACAGCGACACGGTCTGCTGTGCAGTGTTCGCGCCCGGGTAAACGTACGAATCGGCTGGACGGTCTTCCACTGCAATCGCGGCGCGAACGGGAAACTTTGTACCGCAGGACTTTCCGGTGTTCGCCGTCCGGACCGGCGCAAACAAACTGCACGCACTATTCGCGTACATTACATCACGTTGCGTGTACGTTCTATACTTTTGACGCGCGCGCACGTATCCAAACTGACGTCTCGTCGTTACGCGTACGCGCGAGAGCGCGTCGACGCGAAAATTCCGGAAAAACCATCGACCCGGTCATCCGTGCCCGGCGCACGTTTCGAGAATGAGGGGGAGAAAGAGAGAGAGAGAGCGTTTCTCGGGCGGTCGTTTTTAATTTCTGCGTGCGCGTCCGGGCAAAAACAACGGGCGGTCAATTAAACCTACTACTCTCTCGTTCTTACGCGTCCGCTCCGCCACCGCCGCGCGCGCTCACGTCCGCGCTCGGCCGATCGGTGGTCGGACGCGGTGGCGGCGGTGCGGACGGTTAAATCGCCGGGGCCGCCAGGCGCCGGCCGGACAAACGACGCGGTCTTTAATGAGCTTTTGCGCGTTCATTCCGGCAACGCCGCCGCCCGCCATCATCCCCCGTGCGTGCGTGCGTGTATGATAGACGGAGGCTCGGACGTCTTGCGTGAACGTCGGCGGGAGGGCGGGTGGTAAGTTTTTCCCCACTCGGTTTAGGCTTTTAATTAATGGAAAAACCCGGGCTATGTACGTGTGCGTGCGCGTGTGTGCGCGCGCCTATATGTGCGGTAGAGCGCGCGGAGAGGGGAGCCAAATGGCGACTCTGAGATATGCTCGGACCCGAAACGTAAGCATCCAATTTATCTAATTGTTGAAGACCTCGGAAAGAAAATAAGACGACGACGGGGAAGGAAGTTCGGCGAAGATCGAACAGGGGGGGGTAGTGGGGAAAAGAAAATAAGGAAGGAAAAAAAGAATAACCCCAGTACCGCCGTATAAACTGCTGCTGCTGCCCCGTCACGTCGTGTGTGTGTGCGCGCTCCAGTGTGATTGTGTTCGCGTGTGCGGTAGCGGACCCGAGGGGTGGAAATGAAAAATGCTCGTCGGACTCGGGTCAATATTAATAACGGGCCGGTCGTGGCTTAATTAATCTGTAGCGACCGAACGGAGAATTATGACGAGTCTCGTTTTGTGTCTGCGCAACGGTTCGCGTGCAGAAACACGCATGTTCGGAAAACGATAGTTTTACAAACGGGCATTTTTTTAACGACGACTGCACCGGGACTGCACTCGCGACAACATCGGTGTGTTTCGTACACCGCGGCGCAGACCGCACTTGTGGTGTGCAGCGTATGTGTCGGGGTGAACGCGTGAACGTGCGCGTGTTTGTTCGGTAGCGGAGGAGCCCTTGACCTAGTCTCAGGTGACGTCATCAGGGGCGTGCGTCCCCGCGGACTTGCATTCATCCGCGTTGCTGACCACTGGTCAGAGAGATCCCATTGAAAAACGCGATAGCCGCTGCCACCGCCGTCGTACACCGCTCGCGCACAAATCCCAACGCACAAACACTACACCCCCTCGGACGAGGGTGTCGTATGTGTGTTGGTGCGTGTTTTGTCGGTTTTGTACGCACTTTGTAAAAGTCCGTAGCACACGACCACCGCTTTACGGTACACACAGCTTCATTGCATCCGGTCGCAACCGAAAATTAATCGAATATGTTTACGCTCATGATTTGGTGTCACGTGCACACCCGACCGCTGATCAACGTTATTTGTCATCGTCAACAAACGTGTGTACGATTTGTGTACCATTTTTTAGTCAACATCCAAAAACGTTTGGTGATTTTCGTAATTGTATTATTTTTAATTTATTTTTATTTTTTTTATTGCCATTTAACTAACCGTGCTTAAGTCGATTTCCTATAGTATAGACGCATTATTTTAATCTATAATTTTTTTTACCGAAAAAAATGTACGCAATTGTTTCGGCCGTTCGTCTGGCTTGTAAATAAAATCGTATGATATATACCTATACTCGAGTAATATGGGCGATGCGTGATGGTTATCGGTCGGATGTTTCATTTAACGAACGAGACACGGACTGATTACGAAACGGTGTCACGTTGGAAATATTACATATTCCTTATGACGTTTACAAACAATAGTTTTCGGGTGTTTGAATGTTTTTCGTAGGTCGACGTCTATACGATATTCAGACTGTACCGATGATTTATAACAACGTTACTCTGTGTAATGCTTATAGATAAATCATCGATTCCGTTTGTTATTATTCCATAGCGTGTTGTGTTTGAAAACCGCGTTCGTGGTACCTAACCACCATTGTTGTAGGCGACGATGTGAAACAGACGTGTGTAGGTTGACAATGTGATTTCCAAAGAAATGTCAAAAATCAGTTTCTACCTGCGTGTGTGGTCAACGCGATCGATAATAACACGTAGAGGTACCCATATCGCTGCAGCGAATGCATATAATTTCTTATATAATTCTCCGACGAATAAAATCCTTTTTAATAATATATACGACGTTGACGTTAACTTATCGACGGTTTTCGGTCGTGTTATTTCCCCTCGGGTTTCCTCTCTCTCACTCACTCTCTCACACTATTCATCGACGTTTATAACGTATATATATAGTTTAAAAACGTGAAAAGATATTATTTTCATTTGGCAAAATCTTTCAGTCCCGAAGCGCGCGACGTTTAAAATCGACAATGCCTCTTTTGTTGCATTACACACTTCAATGTTGCAGAGGTGTTTGAGCGGGATCCGTGCAAGGTTTTCCGATTTCGATTTACAGTCATTTCCGCTCTAACCTTGTTTATCGTCATCGCCGAGACAATATTTTGGTATTCGATTTCCATAAGTGTTTGCGAATAAAAGTAAATCGTGATATCACATCAAACGGTCCAAATGTTAAAACACCATCTTGTTACGTTTCCGTCGGTCGGGCAAACGGATGAACCTAACGCAAAAGCCAATCTTGATTTTGTCCGTCCGCAAAATGTTGAAACCCGGTTGTTTTTAGCCGCGGTCCATCCGAATGATACGAATGAATCGAATAATAACTGCGTTGCGCAACAACGGGAGCCGTTGCGCGACGTGCACACACGTATCGGTCACTGTGACGCGCGGCGGAGTCCGGTGACCCGCGTGCCGGTATAACTAGCAGTGCTATCTTTGGGCCGCGGCGTCAACTATCGCGTCGTCGTCCATCGGTCGCGCCGTATCGCGCGTGTTCCGCCGACAACCATCTCGTCGCGATCGACCCTTCGACGCGGCGTTTCGCACGACCATGATCTGACGATTTTTCCCGTCGACCGATACGATATATTTTATAGTTTTCGCGTTCGTTTCGGCGACGTGTTCCAACGCCGTAATACGAAAACACACTCGCCAACAATTAGTGCAAACGCAATTGTTCTTCCATATCTGCCATTCGCGCGCGTCCCGTCACGTTATTCTTTTCGTCGTTCCTAACCCTCTTGTTTTCATTTCCGTATTTTTTACACGTAAAATACGTGCCCGTAACACGCATTCGGTTTCGCGTTGATAATTATTACTTTCGGTTTTCGGTCGCGCGCGCGCGCACCACCACCGCCACTACCACCGCACTCCGACAACCCCCGTGCGCGACCCGTCGGCCCTGCGCGCCGTCGCGATCCGATCGGCCGCCGCCGCCGCCGTCGTTGCCCCTCGGAGGCCGTCGCCGCGGTTCGCGTTCCCCACCGCGGCCGCCCCGCGCGACGACGACGGTTTGACGTGCCGCATGCAAAACACCCCCACCACCGGCGGCCGCGCGAATGGGTGGGGACCGGTCGGGACTCCGCCTCCCCGTGCCCATTGCAGGGGAACCGCACCGAGCGCATCGGCACGCCGCGCACCAGTCTCCCGGCACAGAGCGCGCCCTCACGTACTGCCAGTGTCGAGTGATTTTTTTTTTCCGTCTCCACACACCAAAACACTGTTAATTATTTTATTTATTATATGATTTTTATTATTCGTCTTTCGGTTTTCGCGTAACGTCGTCGTCGTTTCAATCGATATTTTTGTACTCGCAATCGTTTAACGTTTAATTAATAATCGTTTTAATTAGTATTATTACTAGTATTAATATTATCGGGTATTTTTATTTTTTATTTTTTTTTAATCCCGTTCGATATTGTTGTGCGATCGCTCTCGTTCTACGCTTGTGTTCGGATTCACACCATCGTCGTAAATTTTCGACGCTCGTGCACTCGCGTCTCGCCGTCGTCCGTCCGTTCGTAAACGCGAGCGCGCGCGCTCTCCGGCACAACCGTTTGCTCCGAGTGATTTTCGATATACAACAAGTGTGTTTGAATGTGTCCAAACCGACCGGGAGTGACCCGAGTGTACGCCGTTTTTTTTTTAACTCTCACTCAAAGGATAGCAGAATTTCCATTTCGGATGTCCGAACGACATGTTTAGAGGTATAATATAAATATATAAATATGTGTATAGGAGACCATTATTTTTATTATTACATTTTTTCTCCGTACCCGCTAACCGAATTTCGTTTGTTTTCGGTACTCGTAAACCAACCGTAAGTGTCGCGAATGTTTTTTAATCGCGTTAGTGACGGAATCAATATAAGAAGCGTCGGATTTTTCTTTTTTTTTTGTTACTTTTCCATCGGTGTTACGATTGATATTGTGCGTGTTACGTTTCTCATTATTGCATTTGTTCTGTTCCTCGACTTCAGCCAATAATTCTTCCCGCGCTCATTGGAAACCACGTTATTTTTTTAATTTAAATTTTCTATTATTCCTTGTGTATTGTTTTTACGTAACACCGTCGACGTACATATATTATGATATCGCGAAGAGACACGGCACGACGGTGCTCCGACGGTCGAACAAAAACAATTATAGGCGCTTTATTCTGCCGTCGGCTGATTAAACGTAAAAAGTCCATAATGTCATGTCGTCATGATTCGTGTTACGAGAAACAAAAACAAAGGCTTACGTTGCCACCACGTGCTCGTGACAATACCGCTCACGCGTGTACAACAGTAATTAACCGCTCGATATCTGGTCGGAGGTGTAAAGGTCGGTTGATAAATCGGCATTTTTGTGCGCCGGAAGTGTTTTATTTTTTTTAATTATGTTATTCGTATCGAAGTTTATTATTGCTGTGCTATTATTATTTTTATATCCATCGTGTATATTATTATGGTTTTCTCCCTCCGTTTATTTATGTAACTTGCCCGTCGGACGCATAAAATATTTTATTCCCCGGTACTTTGCATAATATCACATCTTTCCGGGGAGAAGAGACGGACGCTCGTGCCGAACCAGTTTCACGAGAAATTCAAATGAGACAAAATTTGAATATGTCTCTCCCTACACGTTACAGCAGACGTCGTCGTCGTCGGTGTGTGTTTCGATGTTATTGTGCGCGGCCGCGGTGGCGGTTGTAAACGCGCGTTCGCCGGGACCGCGCACGTGGATCACACCGTAAACACCGGGGGAATACGGTCGTGAATTTATGTTAATTCCTCGGGCACGTGGACGTTACAAAAAAATTTTACCCGGCCAGCGCAATACGGTTTTCGGTCTTACGCCGTAGAAAACATAAATCGGACACTTTCGCGAATGGGATTAATGTGCATGTTTTGGCCGACGGTTCCGCGAAGCCACGAACGCCACACCACGTCATGCAATAAAAATAATTGCGCAACGCACGTTTTAATCTTTATTAATATACTTTATTAATATGAAAAAGTGCACACAAACGTTTCTCGGCAACGACTAATGAGTATAATTACTGTGTTAAAAAAACATTAAAAATTAAAACGAATATAATAATAATGATAATAAAAGGTGTACGTATTCCGTAACGCGCGTATGTTAATTAATGAAAGAAAAATATGGGTTCCAAAACGTCTTTGAAAATTATTCACGTCGAACATTGCGTACGTATTTTATTATTCGCCTGTCGCGTTTTATTTATCACTTGCTCTCGGGGAACGAAAACGCGCGGTAATTATACTACACGCACGCGGCGGCGCACAATATTCATATATATATATATATATGTTATAAAAAACCCATATGATTAATCGGACTCACGAATGTTTTTTTTTTTAATTAATTAAAAGCAATTAAAAACCGACACAATACTAAAAATCGTTTCTGGACAATCGAACCAGTCGACGGCGGCGTACCTGCTGTAACACACGTATTCCGGTTTTTTTTCGGTGCAAATCGATTTCGATAAAGCAACAGTACCCATATAATATACCGCGCGGTCACTTCGGTATAGTAAGCCCGGAGGATAATTAACGATAATAGTAGTTAGTTCTCGGCTGGACGGTTTTCGGTGTATCGGTTTTTACGACATTCGTTTTTTCATACGGTTACAATGTTTTGAATAGGAATGTGCTAGTTGGTTTTGTTCATAGTGCAATACGAAAACAACTGTACATCTTATCATTCGATAATGCACCCGAACACCCCTAAGACCGTATATTTTTAACTATATAGTTAAAAATATAGTATACTATAATATACTATATAGTTATAGTTTACTACCGTAAGTAACAATAACAATATAACTATAACTATATAGCATGTGTAATTATTCAGTTCTACCCGCAGCAACGTAGGGTCTTACACGGTTCTCCTCCTCGTGTTTTACGGCCGCGCTCCGTGGTGGCCCTGGCCGAAACACCTTCGTTTTCGGCACGCATTTGTTGTACGCGCACACTCGCAATGCGTACCAAGCACTGGTTTTGTGTATATTTTTTTGGTTATTGTTGTAAAAATACAACGGACGAATGCGTGTAAACGTTATCCGTTCGTTTGAGATTTTTTCCCCTCGAGTCTGCAGCGTTCCTAATCGTGAATAATTAACGAATCCGTGCAAGAGAACCGAGTGTAATTAATATACACGCGTGGGGACGAATTAAAAACTTATAATATATCTGCTATCGTCGTTGCCGGCGGACGGTCGTCTCCTCTTCCCGAAACGAGAATTACTGGTTTTTTTTTTCGGTGACCACCGCCGGACCTCGTTTCCTTTTGGTCGCCGGGTCAAAGACAATATTATCGTGTTGAAATCTCCTTGTATTTTATTATCTGGTTTCTGTGTACGCATCCTGCGTTATCTTCGATTAGGATACCAAATAACGTTATTCCGGTAGCGTTTTTTTTTTTGATTTTTTTTTTTTTTTGTTAAGACCGCATCAGTTTCATTTTTATAAATAATTTCTCGTGTCGCTTTCCTTGTCAACTTATACAATCGTTGGTTTGACATCATCATACGATATTATATCAAATCTTGTCTTCGACACGGTACATTTTGTTCATTGCTTTTACCACCGTACTTGATGTGCATTTCGAAGCGTTCGCGTTTCACGTTTAAACGATTTATCGCGCGCTAATCGCACGGTGCACAGTGATATATGTTGAACCGTACAGATTTCCATTTCCGTTCGATTTGAGAGTTATTCGATCACGATATGTTTTACTCGCGATAATCTCGTTAAACCTAATCAACGTGTTACAATGAACATAAAATTATTCAAATCCGTATGAATTCGTACCCCGCGATACGGATCAACAAAATGTCACGTCATTTTCTACCGTGAATTCGATTTCGACGGTCGCGTAGATACAACAACACCAGGTCGTTTTTTTTATTATGTCTCCTAGTTATCGTTATCATCTGTCGTACAAAAAACAATGACGAGCGTGTGTCGTGCTCACCGCGACGCGTTTATGTATTTATGGGTGTGCGCGCGTTTGACGGACCTCATTCGGAATTCAAGATGGCCGGTGTCGTCGGACCGGTGCGAGGGCGGGTGGTACGCCGCGGTGTTTTTATTACAGTACGCATGTTGTATTATGTAACGCGTTCTGGTCGGATGATGAATAGGAAAACGGCAATTATCCGTCGCGTCGCCGACGGGAGAAAACGCGAAAACCGCGCGTTCTATCGCGTTCTTCGGACGCGCGTATCCCCACAACCAACGAGGTAATCCTTCGACGTACCGGGATACGATAAATTTATGTGTTTTCTCGTCGCCACCACCGCCGCCGCCGCCGAAATCTCGTTCGTATTTTTTCCTCGGGAGAAACACACCTCCGGGGGATGTTTACTAATTAATGCGGAGTAAAAAATCGAAATAAAAATAACGTTCAGTACGCGTTGTTGTGCCCGGGCACCCGGAGGCTGCGGCGTGCATACATAATTAACGCGCGCGGACGCGGATAGCGTGATTTATCATTCGAACAGGTGTGTTTTTCATTATTATATAATGTGTATTAAGAATATTATTATTATTAATATCGTATTGACGTGTATCCTATTATTGTGTTGAGCTGTGCGCGGGAGTATATAGATGCGTCCCCAGACTCCGTGCGCAGTCGGTGAAAGTTTCGAACGGGTAAAAAAAAAAAATAAGTAAAATATCGACCATTTATTAAGCGTTAAAAAGTTTCAACATGATCCGTACGGTGTCGAGGTGTACACACGTATAGGTTATAATATATGCATACAACGTATACAGGAAAAAAATTACAAACAATTAAAAAAAAATAATCGTTTACACATTTAGATAAAGTCTCGCCGCTGTTATTAATTATATCGCACCCAATAGTTGCGCATACTATACACAGATAATAACATGAATGGATTAAATGGGTTACACAGAAATCCGTTATTTCGTGTTATACATTATTACTAATTAAATTCGAACTGATCGTGAAAACCGCGTAAAACGAATGATAATTGTACACATCTGCTCTTGAAATTCATCACATTAATACATCTACTGATTAAAACGATGATCCTTGCACTAGATTATTATTGTTAACGTGTAATATAATTATATGTGCACGCAGTGGGTATTAATGTAAATGTCTTTATGTGGATTGTGAAAATTCAATCTGATGTGTGTATCGCATCTTCGCGTTAATTGCGTATTCTGTCGAAAAAAAAACAGCGGTAATGCGTTATTCGAAAAAACGTTCTACGTCATTTATTAAGGTTACGAAAAACACATTAATTAAAATCGAAATAAACAAAGTAATTATAAACGTGTGTTGTTATAATTATTAATGATGTAAGGTTTCCGATATGATTTTAACGCGCCGGTTCGTTGTTGTATAATTAATTATTATAATGCGTTATAATAATAACGTATTTAGTATAATTTTTCTATTCGATTCGCCCGTACCTATATTGATTACAGTGGTTTTGGTCCACACGTTCGGCGGGAAAACAATAAACTTGTGTACAGTATCTCTCGTTCTTTAATGTAAACACGGTATATAATAATTGTATTTGTGCACGTATTCTTCTGGCGGGCGCGCGGACGGGGTTCGCTCGGGAGATACTACGGGAAAATCGACTTCGGTTTCCACTGGAAACGCCGCGCGGTCGCCGTCATCCGTGCAAATGAATGCGCAGGCTCTCGTTACGCCGGGACCTTTTCCTCCTCCCGCGAATGGCCGCGCCAATGGGAAATTAGAGGAAGGACTCGCGAATACACGATCTTTTGTATCCGTAAATTATCCGCGTCGCTCGTATTTTCCACCGTACTCGAGTTTCCGGTAGCCCGCGGCGGTGGCGCCACGTGTTGTGTTCCGTCGATTAATTAAAAAACGCGATTCTCGTACGATGTGCGTTTTCATCGTTTACGCGAACCCCGGAGCCGGTCTCCTGTTTTTTTTCGGACTCCTCGGCGTCCGTAATCGCCGCGCCGGTACGCCTATTTACGTATTGTTTTTCTGATGTATAATTATTTCGTGCCGAGGGCCCGACAGACTGCCGATGCCGCCGCCGCCGCCAGTTATAATTATCCTCTAATTTGTCCCTGGTAGACGGTTGTTCGGCGCCAACCGTCAACCCCCTAGAAACCACCCATCTCTCTGTCTGTTCCGACTTTGCTCTCGCACCACTAGAGGTACGTGATGTAGACGTCGTTACGAAATTGTAACATTGACCGCGTAGTAGTAAACGCGCGCGAGCATCATCAAAACGTCGGAAATGTCGACCTGGATGTGTTCGCGCGCGAAATCCTTCTCGACAGAGGAAATCGGCCGTTTCCTGCGTTTCGCGCAATCGTCGTTTCCTCTGGCCCACATTCGGTGCCGCGCGCCTTTTTCCGCGGCATATAGTTGTTTCTCGACGGTTTTTTTACATAATTACGGATAGGAAAATAAAAGAAATAATAGAAAACCAATTAAACGGTTATTCTGTAAAACGGGAGGGGAAAAAATAAGACATTGCGCGTGTGTGTGTGTGCGGTGTGTACATATTATATTCCTCGTTCTGGCATTATGTTAATGTTGTTGCAAAACACAAAAGAGCATTGTTTTTATCTGAATTCGTGAACGGAATGAATAATACATTTCGCAGACCGGTTGTATGTGTGTATGTTGAACACGGTGGAACTGGTATGGAAAAGAAAAAAAATGAAATAAATAGCCAAGAAATATTAACAATTCGCTAAGATGTATATAAAAATATATATATTCGGACGGGCTTGATTAGCTGTGGCGGTTCCTGAACAATGGAAGCGTTAGTGTCACATACCACGACAACAGCTGTACATCACCTTTTTCTTCATGGAGGACGACGGACATACGCGAATTAAGACGGACACGTTTCGAGTTCCCCCCCTCCCCTCTCAACCCGTTTTACTTGATCAGAATTGTGTGTTAAACGTAATACACGCGGTTAAGTATAATAAAAGAATAGAATAATAATAATGGATGAGAGGATCAAAAAAAAAAAAAATTAAATTAAAAGATAAAAAATAAAAATAATATAAATAAAATAGTAATGAAGTACCTGTTTTCTTGCTACCGGTTTTTGGTGTACAATGTGGTGCGAAACGTGTGGTACACATCTCGAGGCGTGGTCGAAACGGCCGAATTAAAATTTGAACGGCATAAAATATTATTACCAATAGTAGTATCGCATGACTCGTACGACGAGTTAGTAGTGTTAATAACTTACGGGTCGCACGTAACCGATTTGCGAATAAAATAACTTTTAACGAAAACATACGCGCGCAACGTATACAGTGTGCTCATCCTTGTATTAATTTGCAGATTGCGGTGTGAGCGGGGCATGTCAAGGCAGTGGTGCGAATACATTGGTGATGATTGATAACCAGAGATGCCGTCACCGATACCAGTACAATCGTCGTCGCCAACAGGCGGAGGCCTACTAGTGGACCGTGCCGCCGGATGGACAGCGGACACCACCGCACCGCCGGAGACGACTAGCGCAGCGCATAACGCCGAGGCGGCTGTTGCGGTGGCCACCAACGCCACCAGCACCACCACCACCGGTAGCATCAACACCAAGAGCAGCTCTAGCAGCAGCAGCACCGCGGCCGTCATGAGCCCGGAGGAGGAGCAGTCCAGCTCGCCGGTGACGGGCGTGATTGCGGGACGGGACGAGGAGGAACGCCGGTTGACGTCGCCGCCGTCCGGCAGCAAGTTCGACTCGGTGGCCAGCAAGCCGGATACCACCGAGTCCGAATCGTGGGCGAACAGTAGCGATGTGGAGAAGTTCGACGGCAAGATCGTGTACAACCCGGACGGGTCCGCGTACATAATCGAGGACAACAGCGAGCTGAGCGAGGAGGACGGCGGCGGCGGCGTGGACCTGCCCTCGGAGCTGTTAGGTTCCGGGAGTATCGTCGACGGCCGAGGCGTGAACCTGTCGCAGGCCGAGGTGTTCCCGCAGATAGCCAACGCGTTCTACGTGTCCCGCGGTGGCGGCGGTGGCGACCACCATCTGTACGACCAGCAGCAGCACACCGACGCCGCGCCCGCCGCCGCGGCCCTCAACAGGGTGTTCCAAGACAAGAAGATAGTTCCTGAAGTGCCTGTGATGCACAGTTACAGGGTGTACTCGGTCCGCGACAACAAGACAGGCGGTGGCATGAACGATAACCGGTCGTCTCAGCAACAGCAGCAGCAGCAGCACCACCACCAGCAGCAGTCCAAAGACTGTTCCACGGTACCGGTCAAACCGATATTGATGTGTTTCATATGTAAACTGTCGTTCGGGTACGCGAAATCGTTCGTGGCACACGCCACCGGTGAACACGGCGTGACGCTGCAGGAGGACGAGTACAACATACTCGGGCACAAGAACGCGTCGGCCATTATACAGTGCGTGGGAAAGGAGAAGGAACCGCTGGTGTCGTTCCTCGAGCCCCTGGCCCTGTCGTCCAACAATAAAGCTCATCATCACGCTCGGGTCGCGTCGTCCCCGTCGTCGTCGAGCGCTCACAAAGTTCCTAATGCCTATATAAATGACGGTAATCGTTCCTGTTCCTCGTCCTCCGACGGCGGTGGCGACCACCAGAAGAGCTGCCCGGAAAGTCTGGTGGTGCACAGGCGCAACGCCACGCCGCCCACCTGTTCTCCAAGCGTCAACACAGTTCCTGAGACGTCCGTCTCCCTACCTCAATCCGGTAGTCCTAGAAGTAATGTTAATAACTCGTTTAGCTTAAGTAAAAACAACAACAATTGCGGTAACAACAAAGCTGCGGCGACCGGTGCTCCTTCCGCCGCCGCCGCCGGCAGGTCCAATGTGTACGATTGCATCATGGACCTGACCAGGAAGAGTCCCATATCCGCGTTGGCCGTGTCGTCCGGCACGTCGGCCCGGAGCAACAGCGCGTCTCCGGGCGCGAGCCCGTCGCCGGGCACCACGCTCAGCCCGCAGCTCATGTCTGGTGGCGCGCCGCTGTCGTACCCACAGCCGCCGCCCAACTTCATGACCGGCACCACGATCGGCGTGTGCCCGGATCACATGAACGGCCGGCCCAGCGGCGTGGACTGCGCCCGGTGCGAGCTCATACTGAACTCGTCCAGGCTGGGCGGCGTAGGCGGCTCGCTGGTCGGTATGCACTCCAGAAACTCGTGCAAAACACTAAAGTGCCCGAAATGCAACTGGCACTACAAGTACCAGGAAACGTTGGAGATACACATGAAGGAGAAACACCCGGAGTCTGAGACGTCGTGCGTGTACTGCATCGCCGGGCAGCCGCACCCCCGGTTGGCCCGCGGCGAGACGTACACGTGCGGCTACAAACCGTACCGATGCGAGGTGTGCAACTACTCAACCACCACCAAGGGCAATCTTAGCATTCACATGCAGTCGGACAAGCATTTGAACAACATGCAGGAGCTGCAGAACGGCGGCGGCGTGGCCGGCACCGAGATGCAGAGGCACCAGGCGTCGTCGCCGTCGCAGCACTCGAAGCAGCAACAACAGCAGCAGCAGCAGCAGTCGGTCATGAGCCCGGGGTCGACGAGCGGCCAGCATCCGGCCATGGGCGGTCCGATGATCAACCAGAAGCCCAAACCCACATTCCGGTGCGAGGTGTGCAACTATGAGACGAACGTGGCCCGCAACTTGCGCATACACATGACCAGCGAAAAGCACACGCACAACATCATGGTGCTGCAGCAGAGCGTCAAGCACATGCAGACGTTGAACGCGCTGCAGACGCACCATCAGCAGCAGATGAACTTCGAGTCTCTTATGCACTTCCACCCGGGGCTGACGTTGCCCGGTGACAAGCCGCCGCCGCACACGGAGGCCGCGCTCGCCGACATGGCGTACAACCAGGCACTGCTCATTCAGATGATGACCGGTGGACAGATGCCGCCGCACTTCGCGGGTGACGTATCGCCGCACGTGGACACCGACATCGGGCTGAACCCGGAGACCATGGAACCACCGCCTGAGCCGGTGGACAAAAACCCGAACTCGATGTTCCAGTGCAGCACATGCAGCACGTTCGTATCGGACTCGCTGGAGGCGCTGTCGCATCACCTGTCCGCTGACCGGACCAAGGTGCGCGAGCAAGAGATACTCACCGTGGTGGCCGGCAACTACATCTGCAACCTGTGCACGTACAAGACGAACCTGAAGGCCAACTTTCAGCTGCACTGCAAGACGGACAAGCATCTGCAGCGGCTGCAGCACGTGAACCACGTGAAGGAGGGTGGGCCACAAAACGAGTGGAAGCTTAAGTACATGTCGTCGCCGGGCGGCGTGCAAGTCCGGTGCAACGCGTGCGACTACTACACTAACAGCACTCACAAGCTGCAGCTCCACTGCGCCGGTCAGCGACACGAGGCCGCGTCCCTGTTGTTCCGGTACCTGCGGGACAACAGCGACGGCGACGGTTCCGTTTACCACTGTCTGCTATGCGAGTTCTCCGCCGGCGATAAGTTGCCATTGCTGCAGCACGTCCGGACCGTGAAGCACATGCAGATGGAACAATTGCACCAGATGCAGAGGCGGTCCGACGGCAAGGACATACAGACCGACATCAACATGGTGTTCCAAGTGACCAGCGCTCCGCAGCAGTCCGTGGACAGCGACCAAGAACAAGGTAAGTGTCGAAGGAATCGTCGCGCGTTGATCTGACTTTTTTTCGTGGTGCGAAATCATCTTGACAGTCCGTAAATCCATCGCGGACGGACCGTCCCGGGGGGGGGGGGGGTTGGAACGTTTAACTGCTTATTGGCGAATACGTAAGATTATAAAATTGTTTTTTTTTTTTTATAATTACCGTAAAAACGTTCTATAATTAATTCTTATTTTCCCTTAACACAATAAGTTAATGATTTATTTATTTTTTTTTTTGCCGATTACGTTATAGATAATTATACATATCAATTAATACGGTCTTATAAATAATTGTCTAATCATTTTTCGTACCTAGAAGGCAAAGTACAATAATAGCTATTATACGGTATATTAGCATAAAAGTTATAATAACAATTTAAAAATAATGAAACCGTATAATATTTAAAAAATAATTAAGCATAGAAACGACTTATCTCAATTAAAGTGTAATTATTTTGTTATTACAAAACTATTAATTTTAACAAAATAAATTATTTTTATTAACTATTATTTAGTTTATTTCTATACACAGCATGTTGACCTGCGTTTACTAACCGAAATATGCGTAGGTATTGTATAATTGTCGTAATTAATTTTATAGTTTGATAATTTAACGGAATAAAGTAATAGCGGCACGAGTACGAATACAAACGAAATAATGTTTGAATGTAAATTCATTTTTTAAAAACGAGTCTTCTCACTGCACTAATATCGATTTGGTAGATAAATAAATAATAAATTACGCGTAGTCTCCGCCTATGTAGACATTTTCTGTGTAAATAGTTTCGAATTTAGTCGTGCTAGTTTCATCTGTAGTAAACAATATCTCATATTAAATCTCCATTGACAACAAAACTTAAGTGAATGTAAATCATTACCGTATTGTACGTTTAATTATCGGACAGCACAAAGCCCCTTGAACGTGAAGACGCGTATCATTGTTTGCCATTTACGGAATAAAGAATTGATCCCATTGGTCGAGAACCACTTGATGATTAGAAAATGTCTTCACTTCTTTTGTAGGTTAATTTCTATCGAAGGAATAAAAAAATAAAAAATAAAAAAACACGAAATGAAGTTTTGATAATAATTGCATTAATTAGTTAACATTAAAGTTCCACCTCACAATGACACGACATAAACCGTTGTCTTTTTTTTATTTATTTTTTTTTATTCTTTAATGTTATTTTTCCCGAACACTTGATTACATTTTAAATTATCTTTAATTGTATTAAAAGTGACGGGTTGGACGGTAACAAAAATCTTATTCTTGTTGTTCACTCATTCAAAGTGTGTACGCCCATTGTTGCTTTCATACTCCGTTGACTTCGGTTCCCACAACGCCGTCGCATTAATACAGTTAATACTTTATACAGTAGGATATAGATTTTATATAAATGTTTTTTTTTTTAAATTTTTATTTAGATCGCGAAAATAAAGGAGACAACGAGAGTCAAAATATTTCTATGGACGCGATGAAAGCCGAAAGTTCCGAACAATTCGAACTAGATTCCAATCGTAACTCACCGAAAATGATCGAAGGTCAAGAACAATCGACCGACCAAAATAAAAACAAACTTTACTGTCCGCTTTGCCAAGACGTTTTCGTAGACATAAACATTTTCGAAAAACATCTGATGAACATTCACTCAGTCAACTCTGAAGGCCTACAACGGCTGTTGAGCTTAGTTAATCAATCGCATTGGTTGAACTCCTCGAAGTCGTCGCAACAGAGTCCGCCTCACACGTTGACCAGTCCACCGTCACCGGATTTGGACAAATCGAACGAGAAACCCGACGAAATCCAAGAGCAAGATATCGACGAATACAGATGCCCGACTTGTCAAAAAGTGTGCAAGAATATTGACGACTTGTGCCAACATCAGAACGACACCGGTCACGTGGAAATCAAACAGACGCCCAACGGACCGGGATACTTGTGCTGGAAGAAGGGCTGCAATCTTTACTTCACCACGGTTCAGAACTTGCACATTCACTTCCGCGAAGTTCATGCCGGACAACAAAATATTCTCGTGTCCGAAAAACACGTTTACAAATACAGATGCAACCAGTGCAGTTTGGCGTTCAAAACGTTGGAGAAACTGCAAGCGCACTCGCAGTACCACGCCATTAGAGACTTGACCAAATGCGTTTTGTGCAGACGTAGTTTCCGCACGGTCGCGACGTTCCAAAAGCACTTGCAGACCGCCCATCCGGATCTGGCGCAGGCTGACCTGGAGGCGCTAAAACAGAATTCAATGCTCCAATTCGAGCAGTCGACCGACGAAAAAATGGAAATCGACGAGTCCGTGGACGACGAAGAGGAAAAAGACGAAGAGCCCGAGTGCGACAACAGTGACGATTCGATCGCGTTCAAACAGCAGCAGTTGATCGAGGACTACATGAACGGGCAGACGCTCGCTGAGGACGGTTACAACGATTCCGAGAGAAAATACAAGTGTCACCGCTGCAAAGTGGCGTTCACCAACCAGAAGTACCTTACTCACCACAACAAGACGCTGTTGCACCGCAAAGGCGAGAAACAAACGTACCCGATGGAGAAGTACCTGGACCCCAACCGGCCGTTCAAATGCGAAGTGTGCAAAGAGTCGTTCACGCAGAAAAACATATTGCTGGTGCACTACAACTCGGTGCTCCATCTGCACAAGTTGAAGCGTTCCATGCAGGAACAACAACAGCAGCTGAACAACAACAACACGCCGATCGTCTCCAACAACTCGTCGTTCGTGGCCGTCAACGCGGCGTCCAAGACTTCGGGCTCAACGTCAGAGGACGATGACAAAAAACCGTACAAGTGCAACATTTGTAAAGTCGCGTACACCCAAGGGTCCACGCTGGACATTCACATGCGGTCCGTGTTGCACCAGACCAGAGCTTCGAAACTCCATGACCTCGCGTTAGCCGGACAAGTGGATCTGACCAAACCGATAATCGAACAACCCGAGCAGGGCAGCCGTCCGCCGTCCCAGAACCGACAGGACGCCGAGAGCCAAGCGTCGGCCGGCAGTGGAAAGGACGAGCCGCCGCAACAACAACAACAACAACAACAACAACAACAACAACCACCACAGCAACAACAACAACAGTTGCTACAACAACCGCAACAACACTTGAAGGGCAATCAGTTGAGCTGTCAACGGTGCAACGCGTTGTTCTCGAACCAAGAACAGCTCAATACGCATCAGCAGCTGTACTGCATGTTCGGCACGCCGATGAATATGTTGCCGATCAACCCGGCGCTGGCGTTCGCTGCGAACAATCTGACCGGTGCTGCTCAAGGACCGAAGTCTCCGTCGCAACAATTGACGTTGACCGAAGAACAGCTGCTGAAGGTGCCGTTGTCGCTGCAGGGCAAGAAGCACTCGCACATGTACAAGCTGTTGGAGAGTTACGGGTTCGACCTGGTGATGCAGTTCAACGAAAACCACCAGAAGCGTAAAGAGAACGAGAAATTGTTGCAAGAACTGACCGCTCAAATGGAAATGGAACAGGCCAACGCCGTAAAAGAGGAGATCACCGAAATCAACGAGGAGGAGACCAGTGACCTGCCCGAGGTGGCCAAGTCCACGTGCGTCCACTGCAACAAAGAGTTCTCCAGCGTTTGGGTGTTGAAAGCCCACTGCGAGGAGGTGCACAAAGACCTGGTGCCGTTCGATTTCCTCGAGAAGTACGCCAAGCAGATCAAATGTGAGATCGAGAAGAAGGGCAACGATCCGGCGACGACGACTGTCGCGTCGTCGACGTCGGTGTCCACGACCACGACGCCGATGACCAGGATCAACTCGCCTGCCGAGGACGTGTCCGTGAAGACCGAGAACGACCAGGACATGGAGACGCAAGGAGAGAACTCGGATTACATGTCGAACACGGCCACGTCGTCGACCGGTGAACCGTCCAACGCGAACATGTCCGGAGTGCCGCCAAATATCCCGCTGTCGGTTGCTCAACACCTGAACGAAATGCAAGCCGCGTTCAACGCGATGGCCGCGTCGCAACTCACTCAACAGTTGCAGCAGTTCAATCCCATGATGGTGGCCAGCATGGCCGGTCTGGGAATGGGCTTACCTTTGGGCCTCAACATGCAAGCGCTGGCCGCTATGAACCTTCAACCCCCGTTGGTGCCGATGATGATGCCACCGCCGAATTTCGAGTCCATTATGGGCTCCCAGCAAAACGCGATTTTTCAACAGCAGCCTTCCGGCCTGGACCCAAATGGAATCTTAGCTAAACAACAACAATTACTCCAACAGCAACAGCAAGTAGTGAGTACCGTTTGCTGTTTTATTTTTCCTTTTTTTTTTTTTTTTTTTGACCGAGTGAGAAATAATTCGATTTGAAAATCGTTTGTTAAAATAACAATGTACGTGCGTATAAGTAAGCACAGTCTCTCCATCTTATTAAAAAATCTTAATATTGGAAATAACAGTTTTATTTAAATTATTTGTGTATAAATAATATACATATGATAACTTATTGAAACGCATAAAATATGTTTGGTTAATGAATCTAGTTTATACGTTTGAACAGTTTTATGTTTTTTAAACATAATTGTTGCCTGAGTGTATTTATTATTTGTATTCGCTATCGAAACGATTAAGCTTAACAGTATTCATATATTTATTAAAAATAAAAATAAAAAGTAAAAGTAAAAATAAAAATTTAAACTTAAACTTAAATTTCCACTTAAAATTTATTTAGCTGGTACATTTATTCTAAAGCACTATAGCATAAGTACAACATAATCAATCAGTATAGTTTGTTATAAATTTAAATCTATAAATCGATGAGTAAAATATAATGGAAACAATTAAATACTTTATGGTGGTAAATTTTATAATATTTAAATTTTAAATTTAATGTATTAATGTTATTAATGTATTTAATGTATAGTATTTATTTTTCTGACCAATACAATTAAAATAAATTGTTTTTGGTTGGTTCTTATCGTTGTTAAAATTAATTGTAACCTTATAATTTTAAAAACTTATTCTTAAAAACTAGTTAATATCTGCTCATGTTTATTACATGTTAATAAAATATTACAGATTATTCTAATATATTGAATTGCACGGTGAATCACAAAAATAAAATAAAAAAAAGACTAAAATAAAATGTTATGGTAATTATTTTACCTATAGTTATTTGAAACATATTAAATAATAAGGAAACAATGTGAAACTGTTATTTTTTCACAATACATTTATTCTTATAGGTTTTTTTAATCCATAACGCTTATTATTATGTACAATATTATTGTTTTTAAATTTCATGCTTGAAACATGTTGCGTAATTAATTTCGCATACAGTAGTTTATCTTTGAGCAATGCTTAGTTATTTCATTATTAGTGTTTTATTGTCATGGTTTAATTTTTTACAGCAACAGAATTCGCAACAAAAACGAGCGAGGACACGCATCACTGATGATCAATTGAAAATCCTACGTGCTCACTTTGACATCAACAATTCTCCGTCTGAAGATCAGATACAAGAAATGGCCAGCCAAAGTGGTCTTCCGCCCAAAGTCATCAAACACTGGTTTAGAAATACTTTGTTCAAAGAAAGACAGAGAAACAAAGATTCTCCGTACAATTTCAATAACCCGCCGTCGACTACATTGAACTTGGAAGAATACGAGAAAACTGGCGAGGCAAAAGTAATGCCGCTCGCACAACCGATTGTCGAAAGTACCGAAATCATTGTTAAGGAAGCACCAAAAACGCCGACGTTTACAAAAAAGAAACCGCTCCAGACTAGTACGCCGAACAACACCACCACCACTGTTGTCCGAGCTCAGAGCCAAACCCCCACGTTTCCACAACAAACATTTGCTCAAAACTTTTCTAGACCGTTCACCGCACAACCATTGGAGTCTCCTATCAAGATGGAGGCACAAGTTAAACCCGAACTCAAAGACGCCGAGACAAGTCAGTCCGAGTCGAAATTTCCATGGGGTAACCCTGAGTCTCCTTCCAAACGCAGAGACTCAGTAGAAGAAAAACAAAACCTCTATCTGCATCACGACAGAGTATCTCCGTTAGACTTGAACGCGGCCGAAAACTTGACCCTTTCATCTATTCTCACATCCCAGCACCAAGAATTGAACATGACGAATGCGATTTCCACGAGTAACATGCTACCGCCGAAATTGTCCGCGGCCAGTTTTACGTCGCCTCCACAAATGTCTGTCACCACCCAATCTGGCCCGCGGAGCATTAGCCCGGGTAGATCGCCGAATTCGTCCGACGGGTTTCCGCACTCAATCATGATGAACCAGAGCAGCGGTGGTTCCGGTGGTTCCACTTCGTCGGGCAAACGAGCCAACCGAACTCGATTTACCGACTGTCAGATTAAAGTATTACAAGAATTCTTCGAAAACAACGCTTATCCGAAAGACGACGATCTCGAGTACCTATCGAAATTACTTAATCTCAGCCCAAGAGTGATAGTCGTGTGGTTCCAAAACGCTAGACAAAAGGCTAGAAAAGTTTACGAAAACCAACCAGCCGTAGAACCAGCACCAGGTATTGTTGAAGAGGGATCTAATAGATTTCAAAGGACACCCGGTCTGAACTATCAGTGTAATAAATGCCTGTTAGTGTTCCAGAGATATTACGAACTCATAAGACATCAAAAGACACATTGCTTCAAAGAGGAGGACGCCAAGAGATCGGCACAAGCCCAGGCGGCTGCCGCCCATATAGCGGCTGCGCTCAGTTCGGAAGATTCCAACTCGAGCACGGTAGAAAACCATCAAGGACAAAGTGCCAACTCCAATCCGATGACTCCGACACCCACTCCGACTTCGACGTATCCAACGTCGCCATTACAAACATCTTCGTCGCACGACAAAGAAAACGTGTACAACTGCGATCACTGCAACTCGGTGTTTACAAAACTCGACCAATGGAAAGAACACCAACAGGTGCATTTGATGAACCCTAATTTATTTCCCACATACCACCCGGAAAGTGCTTTTGGCATTTTGCAACAGCAAGCACAACTACATCAACAGCAACAACAGCAGCAGCAACAACAACAACAACAGCAGCAGCAACAGCAACAGCTTCAACAACAACAGTCTCAATTACAACAAATAAGCGGTACGTCCGAAATGAACCCCAATCCTACGTCACTGATATTGTCGATGATGCAACAGAACAACAAGAGGTCGTTTGACGAGTTCGACGATCAGAGCGACAAGGAAACGGAGTTCACAAAGGACAAGCGCTTGAGGACTACTATTTTACCGGAACAGTTGGATTACTTGTACCAAAAGTACCAGATCGAAAGCAATCCGTCTAGGAAAATGTTGGAGAGCATCGCGCAAGAAGTGGGCTTGAAAAAGCGCGTCGTACAGGTTTGGTTCCAGAACACCCGGGCCAGAGAACGCAAAGGGCAGTTCAGAGCGCACTCGCAAGCAATCAACAAGAGGTGTCCGTTCTGTTCGGCCATTTTCAAAATAAAATCGGCGCTCGAATCGCACTTGCAGACCAAACACCCGGAACAGTGTTCCAGGGGATACATCAACGTGGACAACATCCCGGACGAGGACGTCAGCATGGACTCGTTCGCGTCGTCGCAGATGAGCGAGATCGGCCAGAAAAACCAGACGTACGCGCCCAACCTGTATTACCAAAACGTGGAGGACGTGGAAAACCTGGGTAAAATGTACCAGGAATCACTGAAGAGATATATGGAAGAGATGCAACAGTCGAGTTTGCAAAACGGTGGCGGCGGCCTAGCCGAGGGCGGTGGCGCCGAGAAGACCAAACCGGAGGGTGAAAGCCCGTTGGACCTAAGCAAACCGGTGGACCTGCGCATGGACAATGAGCAGGACGACGACGAGGACAGCATGTCCGAGTGCACGGACATCATGGACGACGAGAGTCCGGCGTCACCGGCGTCGAGTACGCAAAGCGGCCAGCAGAGGGCTAGCGCACCGGGCGGCAGCAGCAATAGCCAGAACAACAAGCGGTACCGCACGCAGATGAGTAACGTACAGGTGAAGGTGATGAAAGCGCTGTTCGACGACTACAAGACGCCGACGATGGGCGAGTGCGAAATGCTGGGCCGGGAGATCGGGTTGGCGAAGCGCGTAGTCCAGGTGTGGTTCCAGAACGCCAGGGCCAAGGAGAAGAAGTACAAGGCGCAGACGAAGCAGAACCAAGAGCTGACAGGACCGCCGGACGAGTGCAAGTACTGTCGGTTCAAGTACACGCACAAGTACTCCGTCCAAGATCACATATTCACCAGCCGACACATAGCCCTGGTCAAGCAGCACGTGGAGAGCCGCATGTCAGTGTCCGACATGTCGGGCAACTGCAGCGACAGCGACTTCACGGTGCCGCCCACGCCGGGCGACCCGCACAACAACAATTTGCCCAACCAACAAGTCAATCAGCTGCAGATGCTCCAGTTGGCCGGGCTCATCGGACAGTCGCCGGTGGCGCAGGCCGTGGCGATGGCCACCATAGCCAAGCTGGACGGCAAGGACCAGTCGCAGATGACCGCGGAGGAGCTAGCCCTGTTGCCGCACTTGTACAACCTGGGCGTCAGTTTCCAGCAAGGGTTTATGCACCCGGGCACGGCCATGATGACGTCGCCAGGTCAGTAGTCTTATACTAGTGTTTATTAGTTCGTAGTTTACCGATAAGAGGTTATTATAATATTACACTTTAAGCGTGCGAAAATACTTGGTTTTTTTTTGTCCCTAACGAATGTCGTTTGGTCGACTGCAATATTGTTATTCGGGATGGGACTGCAATACTTCGAACGTGTATGTCGCAGTACTGCATAATAGGTACATACGTCTATTATTATTACTATTATTATTATCATTATTCGAGTAACAGCCGTCTGGGAAACGTTTCGTGATGGACAGCTTGGGGTGTGATGCGTGAACAAAAACAAATTAATATCTATCGGCGTGCAAATTGTGTGTGTGCAAGTCACATACATACACGCACACACGCGCGCGCGCGCGCAACGAAGTATAATATAATACGGAATAATGTGCAAGAGAAATAAAACTGTATAAAACACATAAGTGTATGGACGAGAGGTATAGTGAGCATGCACAGAAATTCTTTCATGATCCGATTGATATTTTTAATGAAAAGGGTTCCGCGCGTATCGAACGTATCATCTCTGTAGCTGCGTACACAATGCTTCACGTTGGAATCGTTGCTGGGGTACGTTAATTCTGGAAACAATGTCGTCCGCGCCCCGGCAACAGTATATATGTGTGTGTAGAGATTATTACAGAAATTCGTTACGTCAAACGTGAAACCGGAGAAAGGAACATCTCCCCAAACAAAACAAAACAAAAAAAAAAAAAAAAAAATGGAAATAATAGAACTTATATATATACCAATATATTTCTATATTTATATATGGGTTTGTATGTGTGTGTGTGTTTTTAAAGGTTTCCCTCATATTTCTAGTCGGTAGGTATTATAGTGTAGTAAATAATGTGTATGTATGTGTGCACGTGTACGAGCCACGTTTTTGCCATTGTTGTGTGCGTCTATCGACTATCGCCCCGTTAAATTTTGAGAGCTGATAAACGGCGGTGGCGTTAGCGGGGCAGGCAACCGATTTGATATTATATTTTACCCGACTCCGAGGCGTACGGTATGTATGCAAGTATTTTGTAGTTTTCCCGTAAACGTTTTCTAGTGCGTCCGTCCAAGGACCTCCTCGCGCGCGCGTGTGTAGTGTGTTTGTCACCCGAAACTGCTTTGCTGCTGCCACGACCGAAGTCGTGTAGGCGTGAAAAAATCTGCAACCACCTGCGAAAAGTTTACGATCCGCGAACAATATTCTTCGTATATAACGGCAGTGGTGGTGGTGGTTTTAGGAGCGCGGGCGCGATATTATTGGTTTTTGACTAGGGGTGAAATATTAATTCCACTTATGTGCCCTCGCCATGTGCCATCGCGTCGGGCCACCGCGGATTTACCCGATTTACTGCCGTTATTACGTTCTCCTCTCTGCCGAACGGCTATTGTCTACAAATGAGAAATTGACGTAGTCCGTGACCATAATGTATACGTACACACACACACACAAACACACTTACATACTCATACATACACACTACAACAGTGTGCAGGAGTGGCAAATGAACTACTCTTTTTCCTCTGCGATTACACGATTGTGTGCGTGCGTGTGTGTTAACCAGTCTTCGGAGTGTAACCGTGCAACGGTGGCCGGTGAATAAGTAGGCGGTGGTTTTAAATGAATGGACAATACACACACACACACACACACACACACACACACACACACTTCAATATATCTGAAAAGAGTGGAAAATATAATTTAAAACCGGCACAAAAGTGTTAAACTCGCACTCGTATGCGCACCTAAATACGTACGGTTATAGTACGGTTATAGTGAGGACAACAACTTAGGACGAGGATAATCCGTTAGGCAATGTATTATTATAATACACATAATGCTGTGGGAATGTCGGGCTCATAATATTTCAGCACATATTATTTATTTTTACTTATTATAATTATTATTATTATTATTATTTTGCATGATTTATCATTATATTAGTATTGATTTTATTTTTTGCCGTTTGTTTTTATGATTTATATTTATTTATTTTTTCTTTTGTTTTGCGCTTTTTTTGTAGGATAGAAATGAGTGATAAATGAGCTATAAAAACGTAAACATTATGTTGTTCTTCAAAACACAAACACCACACACAGGAGATGTGGCGCCGACATTATATTCATCATTTTGTTTTTAATACGAACGTGTACGTACACCTTGTACATTTTATAAGTCGTAATTATGTTCGAGGTTAGTCCTAGGAATTTTACGTATACTAATGTATAATGTTTATATGTATAAATCAGAAATGAATCTGAATTATTGACTTTTTAATGTATAATTATTAATTTTATTGAAAAACAAATAATAATAATAAAATTTCTGTTAATTTATTTGTCGTGTGTGAAAAACCAACACAATAAACTTTGACGAATTCGTAATCAGACTTTACATCATGTTACACATGATATGTTATTGTATACTATGCCACTGTCTGACCGTTTTAGTTATAATTTATTACCTAGACAATTGTGATATTTTAGGTTATTTATAATTATTTGGCATTTTGACTACGCTTGTTATTTATTATTTTCTTTTTATCTTTTTTCGTAATGTAATTTCAAAGGCTTCGCCTGTGTACGTAATACAAAAAAGACTATATCATTGCCCATTATTGCCACCCTTGCCAAGAGCGCGGAGAGGGTAACTATAAACTTTAAGTAATAATAAAAAAAAATTAAAATGGAGGGCTAAAAAAGTATTTGTTTTTTTTCGCGTTAGTCATCGCCACGTTGTGACTATATCACTAGGATATTTCTGTTCCGTTTCATTTAAATTAAATTTAAAAACGAATCTCCTATATATTATACGATACCATTATCCCACCAATCACCCCCTTGATCGCTACTAAACGGCGGAGCCCTAACAATAAGACTGTTTGTATAACATGTATAACGCAAAAGACATTTCTCGCGAATTTTCCTCTTTTAGTTTTTTTCAGACGAATTCTATGTCACTTATTTTTTATACACGCATATTTTAAACGTATAATATTTGATTTAGTTACGTTTCTCTCGATAAATGTTTTCCATGAAAAAATATTGTTTTTTTCTTGTTGGTGTACATATATGTGTTAATGTTAATATATTATTAAAATTAATATACGAATAATTTAATAGATATTTATATATATATATACTGAAATAGTTAGATATAATAATTTTATTTTTAAGTTTATGTTTTGACTGTTAATATTAGTTTAAAAAACAAAAAAAAAACAACAAAAAAAAAAACAAAAAAAATGAAACCAATGTCCACGGAAACGGTGGAAGACACGTCGTCGCGTATTCTACTACACGTTTAAATGTACTCACGATTTTCGCGTGTGTGTGTATACGTGTGTAAATGTATTTTAATTATAAAACATTCGACTAACCTATAGGATTAGCCACCAACGAGTCACGTACAATGTAGTAAGCGGATGACTCGCTTCGTATGATGTAATAATCTATATTTTTTTTTTTTTGTATTAGATGTGCATTTTGTATAATTTTTTTTCTTTTTTTTTTCCGAAATAATTATATATTAGTTTTATATTTGAATTTAAATAAATATTATAGAAAAAGGAAAATATAAACGATGACGCAAATGAAGTTATTTTTTACGTTTTGTATAGTTTTATACGTTTTATTACTTTGCGATTTTATTTATTTTGCCTTTTTCGTTTTGTATATGTACATTATTATTACTACCTATGTACGATGATTATTATTATTATTATTATTATTATTATTATTACTACTTTTTTTTTTATGCGAACGAGATGAAATGAATAAAAGGAACAAACAAAATATACCGAATATATTCAAAAAAAATACACAAAAAGTTGTCTTTTATTATTTTGCATGGCTGCAGTGTGCAGCAGCGCTTTCCGTTTTTTTTTTTTCCGTTATGATTTGCTGTCACGGCTTTTCGTTAAGACGTAATGTTACATTACTCGTTACTGTGTTGTTGAAATTATGCAGCTCGTGCTCTCATGGTGGTGTGTCGCGCTGGTTCGGCCCACCGGATCCGGTGGCGGACGAATAAATCGCGGAAAAAAAAAGGGGTTCGTCGGTCGCCGGGGATTGGCTCGTGCCGAGACCCGCGATATATTTGCATGTGATTACATCGAGGTCCGGCATGGGTTGCCGCGGCTGACGGGCGAGAGCAGGAAGAAACGGCATCGGGTATTGGGCGACGCCAAGTGTACGCGATAATATGTAAATATATTGTTGTATAGGTACTACCGATACACGGTGTGTGCGCGCGCGACCAAGAAAATAAATTATAATTTACCATTACACGATGAGTATAAGTAGTATGTGTGCGGTTCCCGTGATTTGCATAGGATTAACCCTTGTTGTCCTGCGGGCGTGCGCGGCGTACCCCTACACACGTACAAGCCACGTACAAGGGGGTGGCGCAGGACGTAACGGAAAAACGCGCTCGTTCCGGTGGGGAGGGGACGCCGCGGAGGAAAACCTTTTTTGCTCGCATAATTATTGTTATTATTACTGTTCGACGTGTTTAGGTGTTGTACGGTGCATATATTATTGCACGTACACGTAATACAAAACGTGTACAATGTGCGCGCGCGTGACAATACCGCGACAACCGCTCGCGCGTGTACAACCAGTTCTCGCAATAATAATATTGATGTACGCGGCGACTGCGGTGTATATATAACTACGGTTTTCCGTTACCGTGCGTGATATTTTATCCTCGGGGAAAACGCCGACGGCGGTCTTTAGGGGCAACGTTGAAGACGAACAGTTTTACACAAAAAACGAAGACAACGACGCCGAGTGTATAACTTATATTGTATTATTAACCGTGCTGCCGCAGCAATAGTAATCATGATGATGATGATGACGATAATAATAATAATTGTTACACCGACGTCAACAACTACAACAATAATAATAATAATAACCGGGATAACTGAACCGTGGTACTGGTAGAGTATTACTCTGCAGCGGTTAACTGCTCGTGTGTGTGC